AAATTATTTGTTAAATCTAATGTTTAAAAATTTATGTAAAAATGTACTTTGAACTCTATAAACAACTTTTACTTTAAAATACTTCTGAAACTGCTTCTTGTCTGATTGTTTACTATTGTATGGATTATGGCTTTAAGACAATCTTTTAATATCAGACTTATTACACAAAGATAAGGAGACACATGGATCAAAAGGGAATTAAACTTTTTTCTTTTCTATGTGTACACTTTTATTATGATATGCCTTTCTACATCTGGTATCTACAGACGTCCAGTCTTCTATGATTTATCCTGTGTAATGGTTGATGAGGGACTTGCTCCAAAATGCATACCATAATAAAGTATATACATAGGAAAGAAAAGAAAGTTTAATTATTTTTTGATCAGCATGTCTTCCTATTTCTGTATAATAAATTATATTAAAAAGATAGTCTTAAAGCCATAATACGTAAAGTCGTAAGTCTTTCCTATACTTTTATTCTTCCATATAATAATATAAATTCAGTCTCTGCTACTTGAAATTAATTAACTTTTTTTTAGGATTATGTATTGTGAAAAAAAATCATATAGAAATAATAGCCAAATAAATTAATTTCCTTGTTTTATTTAATACTATACATTAATAGATACATTAACAAAATGATTTTTAAAAATGTATTTAATATATATAGTAAAACTTGTCCAAAACGGAATCTGAATAAAGTAGAAAGCTGCCTAAAAACAATTCTTCGGTACTGAACGATTCCGTTTTACACAGGTTTAACTGTATAAAATAAGAAAGAGCAAATTGTTCGAAGTTATTTACTGCTAAATTAGATATTACTCGATGGATTACAGACGATAAGAACATAAAAAGTAAAGTCCACAAAGCTGTAGATACAGCAAGAAAATTCTTAAACATTAAAATATATTAATAACAGCTCTCATACAAAACCAATTCTTAATTTCAAATATTTTTTGTCGAATTTTTAACAAGTATATCGCGTTACACGTTATAACAAAGAAAAAAACTAAGAGTTCGGAAAAGAAAAAAAATTTATGGTCTTTTAAATCCCTCACACACAACTCGTTCCAGATGTCTAGACTCCTCCCTTCCTTATTCAAGACAACGATCAAATTTAAATTAATAATGATAGACGATAGGTTCAATTTATTAATAGTTCAACATGACAGTATTTTTTTTTAATTAAAAGTTTGTATTTTAAAAGATATTTAATAACGAGTATTATTATTATTGTAATTTGTGATAAAAAAGTATGTACTTTCGTTTCACTATCATATTTACAGTATATAATGATTGATACAGCATTATTATTCAGCTGAGAATTTAAATAAGTTACATAAATCAGTTCTGTACTGCAGAAAAATTAACTTTAATGCTCTAAGTACTGCGTACTTAATGGCTTTGTTATATGGTTTTTAGAGTATTGGGATTAACTCAGTGGTTTTCAACCCAAATATAGTGATGAGTAACACCATAGTGCTGTTTACGTGTATTATTATTATTATTAAAGATTATTGTGTATTCATACGTAATTAAAATTGCAAATTATTTAATACCTTTGTAATCGTTTTATTGAAAATACTATATACAATTTAAACTAATTGTACAACTAATGTATTTACAATACGTATATAAAGTAGTAGGGTTGCCACTATTATAAAAATGTTGAAAAAACACTGTAGTAGAGTCAATCAGCTTATTTAAGGAATTCTGGAATGATACTCCTGTCGAAATTAGCTATATAAATTTCAAGTATGTCAGGGTTCAATTCGAACTTCATCTCTCATGGTAGCCAAATCTTATCGTGCGCGATCGATTACAGAATAGTTTTGGCTATCGACTATTCTCTTAGAGATGCGAAGACACAATCAGTCAATTCTAATTTAAGTTACTTAACATCTATCTATAATAACTTGTAAGAAAAATAACTGAAATTAGACAAAATAAATGGCGAACAACGACTATTGGTACGACTCTCTTAGTTCTAACAATACTCTTCTCCTCTTCTACATCCATTTTCTTCACTGTCCATTTGTTCTCTGTTGCCTTTCTCTCTTTCTACGACTCCATGATGCCTGTCAACAACTTCGTTACGGTAATAATAATTAATTTTTCAATAAAACAGTGTGTTAAGATTCTAAATTAGTAACTAATTCCGTTTCTATAATAATGAAATTTGTGATAATTTACAAATTTATTATTGTTATTAACTTATTAAAATATATAATACTTTGTTTTTTTATCAGAAAAATCATTTAAAAATAATATCGCCATTAATCAATTATCCGTTACATGATATTTTAGAGTTTATATTATATAAACGATAGACTAAACTGGACTTATTATATAAATATTTTGAAAAATTTATTAATTTATCACTTATAGATCTATTGATACATCCAAACTTAAAATTCGGCTTTGTTATTTGGAGCTGTACTTCTAGTTATATTAATAAAAATCATACAAATTACTATTCAAACTTAACCAGAATAAACATAACATACAGGGCGCACTCGCTAATCCCAACTAATTATAATAATATAAATTTAAAACCGGTTATATAGTTGATGATGGTACGCTAATAAATAAATTATCGATCTTAAAAATGATAGTTTATCGCTGGATTATTACAGCTAGGTTTGCAGACGTCCTTTGTTTTAGATAAACTCTCCTTGTCCTTTATTTAAAACGAGAAAGGTCGCAGTTTTTCTTATATTTTCATTTTTTTAGCTCCAGTATTTCGTAACTGTAGGGGTGGATTTTTGCACACGTTTATCTGTATCTGTCCATATCCTCCATAGAAAGTTATGGCTTACTAAAATCAAAATCTAAAAAGAAATATTTTTATATGTGTTGTTTAGTTATTAACTAAAATGTCATTCAGTTTTACTTTTTTGGGGATGGAACTGGGTGGAGGGAANTATTAATTTATCACTTATAGATCTATTGATACATCCAAACTTAAAATTCGGCTTTGTTATTTGGAGCTGTACTTCTAGTTATATTAATAAAAATCATACAAATTACTATTCAAACTTAACCAGAATAAACATAACATACAGGGCGCACTCGCTAATCCCAACTAATTATAATAATATAAATTTAAAACCGGTTATATAGTTGATGATGGTACGCTAATAAATAAATTATCGATCTTAAAAATGATAGTTTATCGCTGGATTATTACAGCTAGGTTTGCAGACGTCCTTTGTTTTAGATAAACTCTCCTTGTCCTTTATTTAAAACGAGAAAGGTCGCAGTTTTTCTTATATTTTCATTTTTTTAGCTCCAGTATTTCGTAACTGTAGGGGTGGATTTTTGCACACGTTTATCTGTATCTGTCCATATCCTCCATAGAAAGTTATGGCTTACTAAAATCAAAATCTAAAAAGAAATATTTTTATATGTGTTGTTTAGTTATTAACTAAAATGTCATTCAGTTTTACTTTTTTGGGGATGGAACTGGGTGGAGGGAAAGTTGAAGAGTTAATCATTTTTGAATGCCCTTTAATCCAGTCGTAGAAATGTGACAACAACCCACGCTCCAAATGAAATGTTTCATTATCTTATGAATAGGAAATTAACTATTGAATTATTGTATTAAATTTACACAATATTCTAATTTTTATACTTTATGTTAATATATCGTTTGTTTTTCCTTACTAAATTCTTTATAATTTTTGAAAATGTAAGAAATCGCCGATTTTTTATGTTTTATTTTTGAAATCGAAAGTCCAATAGTCGATTTTCTGTAAAGGAGATATCCAGATTAAGATTAGATTGCGAATTTTATTCTGGTGCTAGCGATCTCATTGTGGATCATGATAGAAGTCCATTAGTTTATAGATTAAGCAGTAATTTCTTTCTTCAAAAAGAAAGTAGTAATTAATGTCGGAACACACACTTTTTTTTTCTAAATTATTTCAGCTAGAATCGTGCAGCCAGTTTTAAATTGTATACCTGTTTTTTCCAACTGTCTGGCTTGCCTGTCCTTCGTTAATCTGGAGTTATAACGTTTATTTATATAGTATTTTTTAAATTAAAGGATGATTAAAAATTGCAGTCAAGGCATTGTGACGATGTCGCAATCAATAATGAACGAATTATCAAGTAAACTTTGAATATTCTGTGAAAAACATTCACTATCAGTAACGTTTCTCCCCCCCGTTACGCCGTTTCGTTTACTTTAAACGGAATAGCAATTCTATTTCAAAATGGTTGCGGTAACGATAGAGAATATCTCATCGATTGGATGATGATCATAATAAATCAAGAACTCGATAAGAAATCGAATTATCATTAGTAGGAAAAAAAATCAGCACGTAACGTAATTAAATTTTAGCTATCAGAAAAGACAATATTAAAGTCTCCATTTTAAAATAATTTAATAATTTTGCATTTATTTATTGGAATTTCATAAAATTTGGAGACATATATCGATGATATTTAATGTGGAAATAAATGTACTTAACGTTAGGTTTGGATATAAAATAAAAAATATATATTTTTTATATATGAAGAAATTATTATTCGAAATTTAAAAAGTAAATATAAATAACAGATTTAGATTCTTTCCAATTAAACTTTATTTATATTGAATAGGGGGAAAAACTTATCATTCACTATAGAATATCAGCTTCTCTAGTGCTGCTTTTCCTAGCTCTAGAGAGGAAAACCGAGAGGGAGAGGAACAGATGGCCATTTGTTTCCCCTCTCTTCTTCCTCCTCCTCTTTCATTCTCATGGCATTCTTTGTCCATCTGTTAGAAAACGATGCTACTACTATACATCAAATATTTATTTTAAAATGTTTTATATACTGTATTAGAATAAATAAACCATAAATTTTATATACAATAAAAAACTGTAGAAATTTATAATTTATACCTTAGTTAAGAATTCTCTTATAGTATATTTTGAAAAATTGATTACTTAATAATACAAAAAATCATAAATAATTTTATATATTTTTAAAGAATTATTCATAAAATATTTCAGATCGGACACACCTCGGAAGTGTGCAGTCCCTGGATGCAATACAAATCACATGGGTGGACCCACATTATGGACTTTTCGTTTTCCCAAAGACAATAAACTGAAACGTGTTTGGGAGAAACAAATGCAGAGAGAGAATTTTCGAGCCAAAAGCAATTCTTACGTTTGCATTAAACATTTTCCGGACGAATTTCTAATAACAGAAGAGAAATTCAAGTGCGACGACGGTTCGTTTATTGTGGTTAAAAAGGAGAAACCCAGACTGAAACATTGTGCGTATCCGACTATTTTTAGCGATCTTGAACTTGATATTGATGAGCCGCCTGCACAGAAGATGTTGAACGAAAGTAAGAAAGAAAAACCGAGAAAAGGTAATTTAAAAAAATCGATTTTTTTTAATTAACTATTTATAAATAAAACGTTACCTCGCGGAGAAATTTCCCTGTACACATCTGGTGTACAGGGAAATTTCTCCGCGAGTTAACTTTAAGAAGATAAAATCTCAGATCGAAATCTTGAGGAAATTAATTGTATTTTTTCATGAATTTGAAACCAGTTTGTTTTAGGAAATTTCTATATTTCCTATAATTTCATTTTGGCCGTCTGAGAATTTTCTTCGTAATAACGAGACATTTTATTGAAGATAAATAATCGAAACGTTATATTAATACAATACATAATATGCAAACCAACATTAAGTTGGCTTTCGTATACCGTATCAAAACTTACAAAGAAATCTTTTGTAACGAGTCAATAGAGTAAGCAGGTTTCATTGTTACAACTGATAATACGCGATATTACGTAGATAAGTGTTTTAAAAAAATCTCTCATTTGGTTTAATATTTATTTCCTTGTTTTAGTGCAAGAATAAATTAGATTTTTTAAGATTAATTAGTAATCAATCTTTAAAAAATCTAACTGCGTAATCAGTAATTAATAAACAGAAGAAAATATATTTAAATTTAAGCTTTAAATTTTTTTCGTGCTCTGAACTTTGTAGTATTTATAATCGTATTTTATGTAAAATTATCAATAATAATTGAATGTTAAAATTTTACTACAGAATCCAACTTTCATCTCTTAGAGTTGAAGTTTTAAAAAGAACAATTCTTTACAACAAAACAAATTAACATTAAAAAATTGGCAAATGTTTTCTGATTATAAATAGATTTTAAAATGAAAAAGTATGTATATTCTACTGTATAAATCTAATTACTTTCTACTCTGTAACTTTAATTACTCTATTAAAACAATAATATTCAAAACTATTCGAAATCAATTTTCGTTTATAATTTTATGGAAATATTTAGAAAGATTTAAGTTTAAAATTTTAAACTTAATTAAACATTACATTTGCCACTACTTTAACTGTAATAAACTGGCAAACAAAAATAATTGCCACCAACGAAATTGTGTATTGTTAGCAGCAATTATATTTCGTTTTTTAAAATAGTTATGGCTTTCCTGTATTATTTTTTAAACCTTTTTATAAAAATGGACGAACGTATTTACTAATTTTAATACTTCTGTCGCGAAATGAAGTTGTTTTTATGTATTATTTTTTGGTGATTGAATCAGAATTCTTTAGAAAAGGAAAATCTACTTATTGATCTTAAATTCACTTTGTTTGTAACTTAATCAATCTTCTCTTCGATAGATATTAGTGGAATTTTAATGTAAATAGGAAAATCTATCCGATATTGTGAACATTAATTAAAATTAATCCAATCATCAGTTACTACAATCAGAACCTAATATTACAAAAGATTGAATAACAATTATTTTAAAATTTTACTCATCATTTGATTTAATGCGTAATGGTCTCTCTGATAAAGTCTTGAAACCATAGCCCATCTTGGCGTAATGCATATATAGCAAATTCTGCAAGCTGCAATAAAGTTAAAGTATTCTTATCACCCTATCTCCCTCAGGCTCGTTACGTGGCAGTTACGGCTACATAACGATCGTCGGCTTATGTTGGACATTCAACTACCTTAGGGAGTACATATCCTACTCTTTAAATCATTGCCATAAAACTAGATGTGGCACTGACAGGGATATTCACGATCAGATATGTGAACCCATTTGCTCTCTATAGCAATGAAGGTTGAAATGATATTTTTCTTGAATAAAACAAAAAAAAAAAGCTTAAAATATAAGTTACATAGAATATTACTTGATTAATATAAAATTTTTATTTTATATTATTCGCTTATTTTTATAGTAAATATTAATGTTAAAATACCTTATGCATTATTCTGTTTTCTAATATATATATTTTTTTTATTTAAGTCTTCAATTCAATGCATTTTTATGGGGAGTGTAGTTCTATAATTTTTGCTTCTTACCAGCAAATTTGACACCCAATAAAGTCGAACTGCAAAATGAAATTCCGATATGATGCGAGAATTTAATGAACAGAATTGGATTTGAATCGGATCTTTACAGTTTTTGCTAGCCGCTGTCTTAATATATTTTTCAGTTCTCACACTTTATGAGGTGTATTGTTGGTTTGAAATCCCGTTTCTTTGTAAATCTTTGATAAATATGTAAAGCGATGAATTAACGAACATAGTGAACAAATATTTCTAAACATTATTAAATTTCGACGATTTTCATAACTTATTTTCGCGCGTTTCTTGATTATTTCCCTATATACACGAAATATGAGTCGTTCGGGTTAACGAACTTTACAAAAAATAGCAATTTCAGCAGTTCATTGTCCCAAGGTATGATTTTTGCCATGACCATTTATCCATTGTTAAGCGAAAGTAACACGCTTAACAATGGTCATGGCAAATCTTCCTGCATCTTAATATTTCATCTTTTACTAATACAACTATTTGCGGATTTTTAAGTAAAAATATTTTCTGTGGAGTGTGATTTATGATTCGTTAAGAATTTATCGTATGACAGATCGAATGATTAGTGAAGTAAATCAAAAGCAAACAAAATTACTGTCTCTCGCAAAAACAATAATTTAATTCAACTGTTGCATTAATTTTTTCATTACTTGAATGATATTTGTTCAGTTATTCAATAATAATATATGAAGTTAAGGCTAAATTTATATAATTTTAGTCTTGATTTCGTTGTTCGATCCGAATAGTTGAAAAGCAACCTTTCCAGATGTAAGATGGATCTCTGACGAAATAGATACCGTATCTTGTAGTTAAAAAAATTTAGTGTAATTTTGATTATTCTTTTTGCTAATGCAGTATATAAGTTAACAGAAAGTATTCTTCACTCAAATTTTAATGTATATTCTATGTATTATCGGTCGTAATTCGCGCGAATTACGATCGATTACGGGTGATGTCTTATGTTATCGCCCGAAGTAATATTTCATTTCACCTGATTAGCTGTACAATCTTATCTATAAATTATAAAATCTGTTTAAAAATAGCAAAATTGTTTGCTTTTTTTTTTTTTATATTGAATTCGCAAATATTTTATACTAAAAATCCATTTTGTTATTTTGTGCAATGCCATTTTTAATTACTACAATCTTCATTATTCTTATTAGTTATTTAAAAATATATTTAAGAAGTTCCGTATGGATCTTGATTACTGTTATTATTGTAAGATCAAAGAAGTTCGCAAAAAAAAAAACGAGAGATTTGCAGTGAGGGTGAGGATGAGGATAAACAGACAGGCTGGTGTATCATTTTCCCTCCGAAATTCTTGCATTAAATTTTCACATTTAATTCGTGTAAAATGTAAATAATGTACATTGAAAACTATAGTCAAAGATGTGTCAACGTTACATAAAAGTGTGGGTTATTTTTTAAAATTGCCGTAACGAAACGTAAGGATTTAACTTCAGAATTGAGAGAGTGCGATGACCTTTACTCTCTCTCTCTCAATTTTCTCGGCCTCCTTAATGTTTAGTGTCATAAAAGATAAATCGTTTTTACACCATAGTCTTTAATTTAAAATGCTGCAGTTTCTCAGTAATTTCGGTTTTGATAACATTTAAAATTTGCGACAACTAAAAGTAGTTAAAAATGTCTGATCCCATGATTTTGAATGCTTATACATGTGTATATATTGGCTTACAAAATCATTGTTTGATTAATTTCTTTATATATGAGTATTTATAATTTTTTGGATGTATTACAAAATCTTTTAATAGAATTATTAAGAAAATTATAATAAAAGTTTATTTTACTTTCACAAATTTATGTATTGATGACGAAAATATCGTAGAACTCGGATAATCGAAAACTCAGATAAATAGATTAACGTGTAAAGAATAAAATTACAGGATAACAGTAGTATTATACACGTGCTGTATTTATATATTCATCAATGTGAGAGTAGCATCCTACTAATCATTTGGATCCGTCACGACAAATAGGCGTCACTGATCGTGCAGTCACATGACGTAAGAGAATTGCAGTGTGACATCGGTGGAAAAAAGGAGGGCAAGTGGTGGTTCGGATAATTAGACATTCGGATAAATAGAATTCTACTTTAAATTGTTTTTTTTTTCTCTAGTAAATAAATTTTATAATCTTCACTTTAAATGAAGTAATTTTGTATTGCGATCTGAACCGAATAAACATGTTTTAAAATTGAATAATAAAAATTTCGAATGACTTTTTTTTGGTCAAGATTGGATTAAATAGAAAATTCTGTTTATTGAAAATATAAAATAGTCAGAATATGACTACTGTTGATGCCGTGGAAATGACATTAGAATTCCAAGATGGAAGGTATAAAATGTTGCAAACAGTTACAAACATCGCGCATTAAGCTTATATATTGTAAACCCAGTTACGTACTGTAATACAACACAACAATGGTGCTTAAGTGTATCTAATGTCAAACCGACTTTTAATATTTTAATTATTTTTATTGCCAAAGATTCAAGAAAACCTAAGTTAAACTGAACGAAAAATCATACTGACGGAGTATTGTAATCTTTTCGTGGAATTAATTTTATTTTTACAAAAAGTGTAAAAACGTTTTTAAAATTAAAAAGTAAAACAGCTGAAAGAGATCGGATCAATGTCTCAACTTTCACATTTTCCGTCCTTTTCATCTGACAGAGACCTTTCCAGCTCAGGATGATTCATGTCCACTCTTTCTCTGCGCGGATTATAATTATTATTGTATTATATGGTAAGGTTTCAACGTGTATCCTTTTGTATGAAACGTTTGGAGCAATAAACCTTTGTATTTGTATGGTGTGTGTGTTTATTGTTCATTACAGTATTTCGTTTAACATTTAATAATCGTACTGTGCCATTAATGAGTGCAATCGATTGATTGTACTCGAAAATAATTTTACTTCTCCGGCTGTTATAGAATATAACATTGGGAAAGTTTAGTGATCGGTCAAATTTTATCCCTCTGTTTTTTGCAT